AATCAGAGAAGCAGCTAATGGAATATAACATGGCCCCCGACCTGGAAGAGAAAACAGGCAGGAAGTTCTTTCCCACGGGTATTTCAGGATTAGGAGAGGAGTTTGAGGTTGATGTGGCATCCAGATGCAATACAACAGAAGCTATACATCAGAGTAAGGCATATTCCCCTTGCATGTACTGTTCCTAAAATTGAGTTGATTCTGAGCCTGAGTCATTAGGTTGGAGGGACCTGTGATTCATGCTGGAGTTGTATCAGATTTAACAGAAAAAGTACAGGGTGTAATAAATATGTAAAAAACATCTTTCTGGATTCTGTTATTTTAGAAATACAGTATTACACAGGGAAGGCTGAAATTGTTCTGAAAACAATATTCGCATTGCATATACCAGTACAATTTAGGTGAGAAATTCTACACCATAATTCTATGGAAGGCTATGCATAATACTGGATTGAGCTCTATTATAGCAAAAACAATCAGGTCTATTAGATTAAAATTTAGCTTATATGTGGGCATGGATTTTCTCTAGACTTTTTTGCTGGTCTGTCTAGCTCTTCTACTTCCTTTATTAAACAGGAACTTGTGAGTCAGGGACTTTGTATATATACGTATGTGTATGGACATAACTCCATATACTCCATTTCTTATAGACATTAATGCAAGTTTTTAGCTCTGTCTCCTTCATATCACACAGTACTGTCACATGGTAGTCATTTAATGAATGATATGGTAGATTATGTGTTGACTAAACATTTCTCCTCAGCCCTCTTACTTACAGCATCAAACTATGAGAGAGATTATATGTCAGTACTGGCCTTGCATAGCTGTGAAGATGGTCCTGACAGGGAAGGTAGTACAGTAAGTCACTTCAAAGGTAGCATGTATATTACCCTGGAGACCACATGGCACTGTATTGTTTAAATTGAAAATTATGCATTCTATTCTGCAAGTAAATGATAATTTAAACAACATTTATTATTCCCTCTGAGTAGTCAATGTGGAGAAATATTTAAAATATTTTTAAAATAAAAAAATCAAATAAAAATATTTTGTTCCATGTTATGGCAGGTATTCTTCCAAATTATCTCTCTACCTTATCTCCTCTTTCAATAATTTTCACTGACACAGTAAATGCAGCTTTTTTTTCTCCTCTCTACTCTTATTCTTTATTATATGGTTTACATTAGTTAGTTCTTTATTTTGCTAAGTAGATTCTCACAGCAAAAAATATTCCAGAAGCTAATTTAGCAAGAAATGATCCTTTCCTGCTTAGAAAAAAAAAAAAAAAGTGGGGAAGAGGCAAAATTGTGTGTTCTCATGCATACATGATTTTTGCCCTTCTTATACAAATAAATATGACTAATTGCATCCTAGGGATTTCTTGGATCCAAAACAACATCTCTAGCCACACATGCTGAAACTTCCAGCAAGGCATAACAAGCATACATATGCATATCATTAAGTCACTGAGTCACAACTTCCTGTTTAATACAGGAAGTGCCGGAGCTAGGCAGACCAGCAAAAAAGCCTAGAGAAAATCCAAGCTAATAGGGGTTGCCTCTGTACCACAAAACCCTTTCTTGAACCCACCAAAAAGTTTACAACACCGAGAGCTCAGGCTATGCTGGAATCCTTTTAGCAGATGCTTTCTCATTCCATGTTAATCTTATCCTGCAGGTGAACTTTCAGCACATTCACTCTGGCTAAATTCCTAGCACTAAAAAAACCCCAAAGTACAGAAATTAGTAGCATTACTGCTACAGAAGACTTAAACATTATTACTCTTTGTTTTAAAGTTTTAGCTGAAAATAGCTGCTGCTATACCATCCTAGAGACTGATGAAACAAAGCAAACTACAACATTGGTTTGGCTTCCCCTGACTCTCATTTTCCTTTGACAATAAATCTCGGTGCAACCAAAGCCTGCTGTGACTCTAACTTAGTATTAAACTCTGCCTGGAAGATGATGCCAATATATCTAGAATCAGTTTCTTTAAGAAGAGGGGTGATTTTGTTCCCCAGGGAATATCTGGCAATGTCTGGAGACATTTTTGGTTCTCACTCCTGGGAGGGAATGCTACTGGCATCTAGCGGGTGGAAACCAAGAATGTTTGCCCACTTCTCTGACAACACAGAGGACAGATTCCCTTGACAAAAAATATTAGCCAGTACAAAATGTCAATAATGACAGTGTCTTCAGAAATAGTGCCTTAAAATATCAAAAACTTTCTACACATATTCTTTGAGCTTTGAATATAGCCATGAATGCTTTATGCACAGAAATACCTTTTATTTTCAATTAATACAGAGAGGTTGCTTCTAGTAAGAAAATTCCTAAAGTTTACAAATTAATCACTCACAATTTTTCTCATCTACTATTAGTGTCTGAAAATTCTACCCACTCTTTACAAAATTCCAATAGGTCATTCATTGAGTTACATCATAATGCACTTACTAATTACTTACTATGTGTTGTCAGTGCTCTTTTCACAGGAGCTTATTTGCCTGTCCCCAGCTTGCTCCTTTCCCAGGGCATTCAGTGACCATCATTAAGTCGGTAAGTCTGCAGCTAAGCAACTTGAAGCATTCTCTGTAGAGTTGTCCCTATGAGAAGCAGCTTGACTGCAAATACATACATGTAACATGGTCAATATATTCAGAATTGATTGCCTAATGAAAGGGAGGAGAAAATCAGAGAGAGAGGGTCTTGGAAGAGGGATGGGTGCCAAGATAAAACAATAAGAAAAGAGAGGTAAGGTAGAAGGGAGGGAAGGAGGAAAAGAAAGAAGAAATAAGGAAGGAAGGAAAGAAGGAAGGATCAATCAATAGCCACCCCTCACCCATTTTGCTCATTGTTTCAGAGGGCTGCAAAAAGGAATTTGACCAGTGAACTTTTTGTTCCATTCAGTAGCAATTTTGAACTTGAGTTTCTTAAAGTTACATCAGGAAAACAGAGTACTCCCCCTTTGCCCAAATCCATCTTGAGGTTTTGGAAACAGGAAAGAACATGGAAGAATTGCTCTGCTCACATTCTATATAGCAAAGCCCTTGAAGATGTTCAGTTCTCCCTTCTCTGGAGGAAGTGCTGACTTAGTTTCAATGAGAGGGCCTGGAGCAGTGATTCCCACCCACAGACTCTGCTTTCCCTCACTCAGTTGAGGAGTCCCAACTCAAGCAACAGAAGATGAGATGAGGGAGAGAGGGCCTGCATTTCAAAAGAACAAAGACCGATTTTCAAAATACTGGGGGACCTTTTCCCTAGCAACAAGTTCAGTCCAGAAGGCTGGTGGTCCCTGACTATTGGAATAGGTTCTAATTACAGACACTCAGTGAGTTACTCACACTTAACCCCAGCTCCCACCGAAGTGAGTGAGAGCCAGCTCCACAGTCTGCCAAACATGCGGCAATATGGGGCTGCCTATGTGATTAATTGCCTTTGTTTCCTCATGATAGAAGGGGACCTACTGACAACCACAGCAGTAGAGGGGAGGTCAGGACTCAACAGGGAGGTTTCTGTGTCTCCTTCTGGTCCAGGGTGCCTCAGAAAAGGCTTCTGTGCTTAGGCTCAAACAAAGGTATGTTTCCAAGAAAAAAATTATACAGCTCAGAAAGTTAGTCATTAATGTAATGGTCTGAATCTACAATGAGAAAAAGATTGAAGCTGACATGATTTTTGTCTTTGATATTATAGCTTATGAAGTTGAGAAGTAATTACGTATGTTAATATTACACTCGTTCGATATTCAGTGAATTTTTTTATGACTCTTTCTTAATTAATCTTTCCTTCTCCTCCTCTCTGTTCACAGCACAGGGAAATAGTCATGTAATGGATTGGGGTAATTTGAAAAGAACAGAGTTAGGAACCAGGGAAACATGGATTTGGATTCAGACTGATGCTTGACTTTAGGTATTTAGTAAGTAAATGACAAAAAAACAAAGAGCATGAGGCTATTGATCTGTGGTAGACCAGTTGGCTAGTATGCAAAAAGACCTTTTGGTTCAATCCCCAGCTCTAAAAATATAATAGTAATAATAAGCAGTGCCTATTAAAAATGTAGTAGGCACTACATGAAGATTCCATCCACATTATCATATTGAATCCTCGTGAAAGCTCTGTGAGATACAAAGTATTGTTACATCCATTTTAGAGATGAGGAAACTGAGGTTCTCAGGGTAAATACTGAGCTCAATGGACTTGGGCTGCTTCGACATAGCAGACTGTCCCCTGAGGCCACTGTTACCTTTCCCCTCTGTACTTTGAAGGCGGTAGTAATAATGGAGGACTGGGTGCATATGGGAAGGTGGGGATAACAATTTTCCTGCATCACAAATCATACCACTTTGTCACCTACCTTAACTATTGGCAGTGTAAGGCACTGCATATCTCTGGCTTCTTCTTCACCTATAACGCCCCAAGGACTAAGTAACCGAAAGCATCAGAAAAGCAATAACAAATCTCTTTCTGGCCTCCCTACCTCAACAGAACGCAGCAGTCCCAGAGTTCTGGAGAGAATTACCAAAGCAAGGAAGCCACAGCAGTAGCCACTTCCCTTCAACCTAAAATATAAAAGCTCTAGTGAGGCGCCAAGTGCAAATCACAAGAGTTGAGGCCACTGTCCTCAGCCTTGAATTCCCCAGGAAACCTGTGCTCTGGAACTGCTGGATCACTGCATTCCTGGAGGATCTCTGAGTGCCTGCCTGGCTATTTGATAATAATAAGAGAGTTATGAAGATTGAATAAGATTATATGCATGTTTATATACAATTCTCAGTGCATGCTCCACAGAATGTTAATATTTGCATTATTGCCATTGTTGTTACAGAGTTTTAAAATTTTTTATTAGGACACATGTTTGCAATATGTAATGATTACATTCCTCATGAGGAATTGCTTCGTGTATGTAACGCATCTTAATTCTTTTTTTTTTTTTTTTTGGTACCAGGGATTAAACTCGGGTCCTTGCGCTTGCAAGGCAGGCCACTGAACCAGTGAGCTAAATCCCCGGCCTGTAATTCCTTTTTTAATGCCCTAAAGAATGAATAAATAGAGAAGAGGAAGAACTTTCGGCAAGACACACTTAAGACATTCGTTGTGAGATAACTATGGTAATGATGGATTTATTTACTTATTTTTTTATCTTTTCATACCTAACAATTATTTATTATCTATTATGCTCCAGACACTGTTCTAACCCCTGAGTTGGGGGTTAATATAACAAAGAGTCCTGTACTACAGAGCTTACAACCTCATAGTACACAGGTATCAGATAAATTCAATGGGCAAATTAATGTATAATTTCAAATTGTGGTTGATCTGCATTATGAGGGGAAATAACTTGATTTAATGAGAAAAAATAACCACAGAGCAAAGTATAATTGGTAGGTGCTTAAACAGTTTAAAGATGGCACCCTGACCAGGTGGCATATGAGCTACAACCCAGAAGGTGATCAGGAGTCAGCAAGGCAATGAATTAGGGCATAGGGAGAGAGAGGCTGATGTCTTTATATTCACTTTAAGTGCTTAACTGAAAACTGCAAAAAGCACTCTTCAAGGGAGTTCCTATCAGATGTCCACACAACCCACAGTCAATTTTCACCAAGTGGGCTCTGCACTGGAGAATGTTGATCTGCTTTTGGTATTAACTTCTTTTTCCATTAAGTTTATTGGTACATTTTAGCTATACATTATGATACCATTCAACATTCAGAATTTGTATGTATACATGATATAATCTTGGTTCTTGTTTTTTCTCCATTCCCCTTCCCTCCCTTCTATCCCCCACCCCTCCCTAATTACAAAAACTGTTTCTGTTTTTTCCTTCTTTTCTCATATTTTTTGTTTCCCTTCTTTCCTTTTCTCCAAGCCCTCTCTCTACTTCCTCCTCCCCATTGGTCCTTTTCTTCCTATTTCACAATATCTATTACACATTTCGGTCCTCATTTACCCTTTCAGTGTCTCACACCAGAGAAAATATTCAGTGTTTACGTGTTAAAAAATCAGACCCCCAAATTTAAAGAACTAATCCAAAAATGGGCATCTGAAATGAACAGGCACTAAGGAGAAGAAGGAGAAGAAGTGGAAGGGGAAGGGGAAGAGGAAGAAGAGGAGGAGGAGGAAGAAAACAACAGCAACAACAAAGATATGAGAAAATGTCCAACATCACTGGTCATTTCAGAAATGCAAATGAAAGAAACACTGATATTGCACCTCACTCTAGAAACAATGGCTGTTATCAAGAAATCAACCAATAACAAATGTTTTCAGGGCTGTGGGGAGAAAGGAAGATTTTCCTCTGTCAGTGGGAGTGTAGACTGGTGCAACCACTATGGAAATCAGTGTGGAGATTCCTCAGGGAACTAGGATTAGAGGCCCCATTTGACTCAGCTATTCCCCTGCTAGATAACTTTCTAAGAGAATTAAAGGCACCATACCACAGCAGTATATGCCCACCCATGTTTACAGCAGCAGAGTTTGTAATAGCTAAATCTTGGAAATAGCTCAATGCCCATCAGTTTGTTGCTGGATAAACAAGATGTGGTTTTCCATAAAATGCAGTACTACTCAGCCATAAGGAATGATAAACTAGACATTTATTGCTACGTGGATGGACCTCGAGGCCATAATACTTTTAAGTGAAATAAATAAATTGATATTGACTTTTAATTTCCAGTGCTGACCAGAAATGCCTCTCACCTCCTTTCTTGGCTAATGAGTAGTAAGCAGCCATTTATGTACATAAAGGAGCCAAAGAGTTAAAGAAGTGTAAATTCTCAAATTTGTCTGTAATCATCCTTTTCCTAATTGTTTGCAATTCTAGATTTTCTTTATAAACAATTTGAAGCCCCTCTTTCTCTTTCTTTCTCTCCTTCCTTGGAAAACACTTTAAAGGATTATAAAACTTCAAAATCCTTACAATCATTGAGGAGATGGTAAGAGGCTAAGTGACACAATCTCTTGGGACTAGACAAGAAAGTTGTGACAGGACACAGAGTGGTGCAGCACAGCTGTTTTGCTTTGACATAAATGGGTGTACCGTAGCTCATTTGGGGGATCCAGAGATAGTGGGAAATGTCAAGGCCCCAAACAGCAACAGCCACAATCTTTACATTTGCTGCATTGAAGCTCATCTTCCCCCCTCCTCTTCCTTCCTCCTCCTCCTTCCTGTTTTCATTGTGCAAGTAATACGTGAATTCATTCATTTTTTTAAAAGAAACAATCCAGGACTAGCATAAAATATTACATCATGTCTCATTCTACTCCATGTTCATCATTCCTGCTTGTCACTTGGGAGAACCATAATTCTGTGCATTTACATTTCTACATGTACAGTTGGGTCATTGCATTAACAGATTTCACATGTGAAGATTCAATCAACCATGAAAGGAAACTTTTTAGAAACTGCACAAGTGACGAACATGGACATTCACCTTTTCTGTATTATGCTTCCCTTCTTACAGCAAAATAACTAATTATGTAGCACTAACACAATCTTAGGTATTCTAAGTAATCTAAAGATGATTTAAAGTATACCAGAGGATATGAATAAGTTATATGCAAATATTACGGCCTTTAATGCAAGGATGTAAGCATCTGAGTAATGCTGGTATCAGAAGTGGGTCCTAGGAACAGCCCCCATGTATACCAAAATACATACAAATACATGCTACACATAGAAATCTAACCTTTCTCAGTTCGCATGTCTTGGAGAGTTTACCTCCAAGAACACAGAAATTTGTCACATGCTTTGTAATCACTGCATAGAACAGGCATACAGAGCATAATGCTGACTGGCATCCTGAGATGGGACTGGGCAGAGACAAAAGCAGACCCAGCAGGTGAAGACAGGTCTTTGCCAGTATAAGACAAGAATTCCCACTGTTCATTTTTGTTTCCATCTTTATTAGCCCAAGCAATACTAGAAAAGCAATAGCTTCATTTTATTCAGGTAGCCTAGATAAAACTACTACAATCTTTGCATATATCATTGTTTAAATATTTACAATAATAGACTATTATTATTCCCATTTCATAGATCTGAAACTGAGAGTCACTTCAAAAATCTAGGAATTTTCTGGATGTCACGAAGCAAGAAAGTGATGGAGACATTCATTATACTCAGGTTAGTGCTCTTTGCCAACATCCTTCTCTAGAAACATATGCAGCTCACAGGAGCTTTTGAAAAAACTATGACTCTTCATTTTGATCCCCAAAGACTATTTCATCCCCATTCAAAGCCACTACTTGTTTTATTCCCTTCCTGAGGGGTCCTACAGTCCTCTGAATCCTGTAAACAGACTCCACACAGCCATCCCTATGGCCCTCCATGCTCGTAACTCCATAGGGAGATGCCCAGCTGGCTGGAAAGCGCCAGGCGGGCTGCTTCCAGGCTGGGAAAGGGGAGTGGAGAGGCTGAGGTGGTGGCGGTCAGCATGTGCTGAGGAGGTAACAAGCTTGCCAAACGCAGTTATTGGAAACTGCCCTCATTAGAATACGGTAATTGGTTCCCGCAGGGCACTGGAAGGGAATGCACAGAGGAGACAGAGAGGAGCTGCTGAAGGGAAATGCACTGCATAGATTTTGTTCTCTCATTTTTTAGCATTTCTCCACCAGGAAGGAGCCGTAACCAGCCTGGGCTCACAATGGAGCTGGTAAAGGCAGCCTCGGTGTAAGACAGAGCTGGAATCTTCTTTGAGCTACCTGAACGTTTCATCCCTCCACGCTGTTTCTGTCTCAGAACTCTTTTTTTCTCTCCTTGCCATTGAGCACCTGGGGTCCTGTCCCAAAGTCAGCAAAGCAATGGCACATCTCCCCCGGAGGAGAGATGACCATATGCCACCTGCACATAAAGCTGGACATGGCCCTCAAGTCTACGACTCTGTGCTATGGGGGGGTCTGATTCATAAGGGTGATGGAAGAAGGTGAGGCAACTCCTTCTCTCTTTGGGTTGAACTGTTTTGATGAATAGCCTATCTTCCACAGACAACACAAAACACCACCTCCTGATATCACATTCAGTCCTTCTTGTATTCCCTACCTTGCCTTCTGAAAAACTTCTTGGAATGATTTTGAATGTTATGATCTTCCTTTCCTAGAGGCTAGTAATATTCTGCACATTGCCCTGTTGGTTTTATCAATAGTAAATTTACCAAGCCATCCACTTTAGATTAGTGCATACTGTGTATTTTGTATCTCAGTTTTAAGAAAAAAAAATCTACTTATCAAAAACTTTGGCTGTCAACATTTTATCTGTAGATCAATATTGTCCTGAAATCCTATTTATTGATAATAACCTGGCCCTTCTCTCTTGCTAACAAAGTCTTGTACTTTACTCACAGCCAGGGCAATCCTTTATTAACAGAAAGAATAAAAATCAAGTGTGGTGATACAACCCTGTAATTCCAGCGACTCAGGAGGCTGAGGCAGAAGATAGCAAGTTCAAGGACAGCCTGAGCAGCTTAGTAAGACTGTCTCACAAAAAGAAAGTGGTTGGAGGATGCAGCTCAGAGACAGAGTACTTGCTTACCACAGGCAAAGACCCAGGTTTGACTCCCAGTGAGGGAGGGGGAGAGGGGGAGAGGGGAAGACTGGGGGAGGGAGGAAAGGGAGGGAGGGAGAGAGAGAAAAGCGATTAAGATACCAAAGGGAAATAGAAACTTTGAGGCACATGGAAGACTCCAGGTTCTTCTCCCCGTGATCTCTGAAAGCAGTTTATCAGAAATGTTTGTATAGAAATACTGCTTCATTGTACTGGCTTCCTCCAAACCTAGAACTCAGTAGTTCTCAACTTAATACAGATCAGGCAAGTGAGAGGGACTTGCTGAAGCTCACTGTTGCTTTTTGGCAAATCTGCATGTTATCATTTCATTTCAGCCTATCAGATGGGCAAAACCTCTGTTCATGCACACAGAACAAGCTACTGCAGGTGGACTATAACATCCTGCAGTGCCAAACCAGGGCTTCATATTGTTCTCATTACTCTTAGGAGCACATAGGTCAGTGTCTTTTATGGAACAGGCTTCCATACTATTGAAATAAATGTTTGGAGGGAGAAAAAGGGACTCTCAAAGACAGGTGGTAGTGATAATGAGAAATGATCAGTTATTAGTTAGATTAAATAGATTCCTTCCACGTTCCCCTATCCAAGTTGTGAATATTTGCTCAGCAGTACATTGTGCCAAATATCTTTTAAAAGCTGGTTTGACTGAAAATTAACCCCAGGCCACATGGAAAGTAAGAGGTAGTCTGGTTTTCCTCATACAGGTAGTCATTTCCTTAGTCTGACTTCTCTTCCGCTTGACATGAAGAATGACAGAGAAAAAGGAGAAAAAGAAAGAGGAATAATGGGGAGAGAGGGAAGAGAAAAGAAAGGAGATGAGGAATAAAGGAAGGGCCTTTACAAAAACAAAAAAGTAGGAGATTAATGGAAAAAGCATACTTAATAAAGGCCTCTTGGGCTCTCACTCTGTCTTTTTCTTTTTTTTTTTTTTTTTTTTTTTTGTGCATTTTTTTTTTTTTTTTTTTTGAGGCTGCTGTATTAAATTAAAGTCATACGTAGGTTTCAAAGGAAATCACATTTCTGCAGTCTGGTGAGCCCACCTGACAATGCACGCTAACAGAATTGTAAATGTAAAGGGTGATGCTTGTCAGTGCCTGACAGTTCTAAATGGCCTTTTAGTTCAGTACGCAGAGCTGTCATAAAAAAACATAAAAATGCATATGCAGACAGCTGAAACTGCTATGCACATCATTATCTGCAAATGGTATAAGTATCCTGAACAAAAGGCCTTCCAGTTTAAGGACATGCATAAGACATTTCTCTGCCTCCAGCTTTAAAACAAAGTGCTGTCAAGAAAACAAGATTCCCAGGGCCAGAACTGAGGTTTTTCTGTCAATCAGTGAGGTGCTACATTTGTACATATTTTTCTGACCCTGCATATGAGAAGAGCATTCTTAACAGATGTGTATTTAACTTCTGGCAGCTGCATCTGTTTCTTCTACGTTTTCCTTCTTATTTCTTTATCACTGTTCTAACAGACCACTGCAGAGAGGCATATGACTGTGTATTTATTCATTTCACCCTGTCTTTACTTTTTCCCTCCCCTTTCCTCTGTCTCCTTTTCCTTTTGAAACACTTTTGTTTCCTTTCTTTTTTCTTTGTAATTAAGGAAGGCCAAAGGAGGCCAGGTTTGGGCGTATGGTGATCAAATTGGTGGAGGTGTCCGTCATTCCTCCTCTGAGCAGGGATATTGTTTGCCCTCTAAGATTGAAAGTTCCTTGAGGGCAAAGGCAATTTTTATAATATAATAGTTCTGAAACCTAGTTGCACATCAGAATCACATAAAGAACTTGTAAAATTCTCATTTTCTAGAATTCTCAAGAATGATACCTGAATCAGAGTCTCTTGGGTTGGAGTCAGGATATTTGCACCTTTCAACCAACATCCTACTGGTTATAATTTTTTTCATTCATTCAAGCACACATCAGAAAACATTTCTCAGACATCTTCTTTGTGGCAGTCATTGTTCTAAGGATACGGCATACAGATATGAAGAGAAAATATAAATTTCCCAACTTAAAATAGATCACACTCTATTGCATGAGAAAAACCAATAAACATATACAAATGCATAAATGTTACTGTTACAGAAAATGACAAATATCTGGGAAATAATCTGAGTAATGGAGCAAAGAATAATAATACTCAGAGTAGCAAGTTCACGTGTGGCAGTCAGGAAAGAGCTCACTGAGGAAATGATGTTTAATACAAGCTGCAAGGGATGACATAGAAGTTATGAGGTGAACCAGGAAGATCATTGTCCCCGTTTATTCTTTTAACAGAATATAAAGTTTTAACATAAAGTAATGAATGAAGAAAGGTTACATAGAAAATTAGTGACTTGCCACAAGTTAAAGATAGTTAATTTGTACAAGGTGTTATGGCTTCTATCTGGATGTTCCCTCAAAGCCTCATATGGTCCTAGGTAGGGCTTTTCAGAGGTGGCTGGATGTAGGTTTGTGATCCTAGCATGAAGGACATGATGCTGGAAGTAAGGGTGCCCCAACCTGGGTGTGAGTGTTAACCAGCCAAAGTGCAGGTACTCTCGATGGACTGTAAGGGACAGAAAGAAGGCTTGCTCAGGCTGTTGCCTCTGTTGCTGCTGCCTTGCTGCCTTCTACTTGCCAGGGACTGTTTCTCTTCCGGGATGCTCCTCTGCCATGCTATCCTGCCTTGGAGCAAGCTGACTGCGGACTGAAACCTCTACAAACTGTGGTTCAAAATAAACCATTTCTTCTTTAACATTGAGTGTTGCGTATTTTGTCTCAGCAGTGAAAAAAGTAACTATGACAGTACCCAGACACTCACTTCTATCTTACACTCAGTAAAATCAAAGAGAGTTAATTCCAAGTTTCACTTGTGTTTTCAAACCAATCCAAAGCCCACCAAAAAAGTACAATCTTCCCTCTGTCATCTAAGATACAAATAATATCTGTCCAATTACTAATCTATTCATCAATCTAATATACATAAATGACATAATACAAGTCTTGGGTAGAAAACTCTGTAACAATTTCCCTAATCTACCTCAATTTGAACTGTATGACTTCTGAAGTTTGAGAATGTAGAGCAACAAATTGATTTCCATTCAGGTTGCATATGTGGAAAATCCTAAATAATACTCTAAGCTTCTTAGGCCCTAGGCCATATTTTACAATTTCATAGTATTTGGCCCACTAATACATTCTTCTATCCCTTTCACACGGCTTGAAGCCCTGAAACCTCCAGATAAACTGCAAAGAGACATAATGACCTTTAATAATTATTTTCTCCCAGTAACCAGTCATCGTACCATGGTGGGAGATTAACTGGAGCACAGGCCCTGGAAAACAATATAACCAATCAGCTACATAGACTGGCCCTACAGTCAGAGAGATTAATATCCTTTCTACTACTTGTGACAATAGATACACCATGAGGGCTTGGTTCACTCAAGTTAAAAATGGCGTAACATGAGAGAGGTAGTGTAAAGTTAAATGGGATGAAACGTGTGTGATGCATAGTACAGTGTCTGATATTCAACCCATACTTAATAGAGGTCACCTATTATTTTTATCATAATTATTACTTTTCATTGCACTGTTAAGGCAGGACACCGCCATGTGACAAACTGGATCCATCACTAAAACTCTGTTTCCCTTACCTTGAAAGACATAGAACGTACAGCCCTTCCTATGTCCAGCATGCCCAGTTACTGTTTGGGACCCATCATTTTTTATACTATACTTTCCTACTCTATTTTCTTCTAATAGAACTCACATCTTCAAGCTATTATAAAAAATAATGCTTTCCTGTTCCATCTCTTGGGGCTTCATTCTTGCTAAGAGCAATTGCTTTTTATTGACTGTACAATTTTGTTGCTATGGAAAATATATTGTGATTAATGGGATCCTGTGACCAAGGTTACTTGGGACAGGGGTGGACTGGTTAGCATCGTGTCCTTACTTTTTATAGGAGTAAAGTTGGCTAGAGCAAGTGTGGCATTATCAACCATATTAGCAACTCTTGGAAGGGATGTAATTTTAAAAGGGACTACTTTGTTGTGAGAATTGTAGAAATTTATAAGTGAGGTAGCCTGAGAGGTCTAATGAGATAGAATATACAGTATGCATAATTGTAGAAAGAGGAGAAAAACTAACAAGATAAATAGGGATTTATGAAGTTTACCATACAAATAGTATGGTTTTGTATACGAAATTTACATCATTGGAGTGCTCCACTCCCACCAATGCTGACACCTGCCTAGGTCCCACACCGGCCCAGGAAGATCTGGGAACGATGTGCCTACCCTCAGGCCCCAGGTTTTCCACAGCACAAGGCAAAAGAGGTGACAAACAACAGACTGACCTGATTGAAGATGAGACACCTAAGAGAACTTCACTTCAGAAGTGATAACCTACCAGAGAGAACAGGTGAGAGACAGCCTTAGGTGTTAGGTTTGGAGAGGGTGATGGTAAATACAGATCTCCTGGGATCACTTGGGAAGCTTGGGCTCAGACCAAGAAAACTGTGGGGCCCGGATTTTGTTGTAGAAGGTCAGATTCAGTGGGAATAATAGTCAGAGGGAGCAATCCTGAACAAGACGGCATTT